GAGCTTTACAACGTCGGTCCGGGGGAGGGGAAGGTGGGGGAGGAGAAGGGTTGGGATTGGGGGGGAGGAGGTAGGCTGGGAAGGGATGTGAAGGGTAAACCAAAGGAGGAGGCTGCAATGCTTGGTAAGAAATGTACGCATTATCCTGCCCATGTAATTGTAACCCCTCTGTACAGTATGATCACAAATAAAAAAAAATTTTCATACACATGAGAATATATCTCCTTGCCTATGGCATAAATATTGCATGTTCTATAGTAAATAATATTTAAGTAAACCACAGACCTCAGATTATCAGCCTTTTTAGTAGCTAGGTGGCAGGCATGCGCCACGGTGCCCAGCCATATTAAGTTTTGTGGGTTTTTTTTTTAATGCTCTTTGTGTGTTCCAAAGTGGGCTGTGTCATTTTACATTCATATCAGATAATAGGGCTTTGTGCCTGTGTTTAAGTGTGTCATTTAGTTATTTGGTGGTAGTAGTATTGAACTCAGAGCAGTTCAGCACACAGACAAAACATTTTTAAGTTAAAAAGTTTACTTAAAGCCAGGTGTCAGTGGCTCATGCCTATAATCCTAGCTACTCAGTAGGCTGAGATTTGAGGATCTCAGTTCGAAGCCAGCCTGGGCAGGAACATATGTGTAAAGACGCTCATCTCCAATTAAGTACCAAACTGTGGCTCAAGTTGGATGCTAGCCTTGAACAAACCAGGGATAGCACCCAGGCCCTGAGTTCAAGCCCTAAGACCAGGAAAAAAAGTTTAATTAGTCATTCTAAACGCTTCACTGAATAAAAAAATAAGCATAGATATACAAAATAACTCATGTCAAACTTAAAACATATACAAAATATCTGTTATATAAAAGTTTCATAGTGGGGCAGAAGATTAGGAAAAAAGTTCAAAAGATACTGATCCATGCCAACTACATTACTCAGAGTATTTCAGGATATCAAATTTCCAGTAACATAAAATCTCAATGACGTACACTTGTACCAGCTATCAGAAAAGCCCGTAAGAACAGACTATTGTCTGACTGTCTGCCAACTCTCATTGTTCTATTCTGAGTCAGACATTAGATAGATACTTTGACTCTTTAGAAGAGGTTTATAAAAATCAACTAATTAGCCAGGCTACTGTGGCTCATGCCTGCAAACATAGCTACTCAGGAGGCTGAGGTCTGAGGATCAAGCTTGGTCAGTAAAGTCTGTGAGACACATCTCCAATTAACAATCAAAAACCTGGAAGTGGGGGCTGGGAAGTTGGCTCAGTGGTAGAGCGCTTGCCTTGCATGCCGGAGGCCCTGAGTTCGATTCCTCAGCACCACATTAGCAAAAAAAAAAAACAGAAAAAAAAACCTGGAAGTGGAGGTATTCGTCAAGTGGTAGAGCACCAGCCTTGAGCAGAAAAGCCAAGCCAGAGTAAGGCCCAGTACTGGCATAAAAAAAAAAATAACAGGAATAGCTAATCCCACTACACAAAAATCATAAATTGGAAAATGATTTAAAATGCAGTTGTGAAACTTTAAACACACATACAAACAAAAATACAAAAACAAGTGGCAAAAGCACTGAGACAAGTTCCTTGATTTCAGATTTCATCTCCATATGTCTTTGGGCAGTTGCCTATACCTCAGTCCTTATTCATGAAGTAGGATTAACAATTTATCCCTGAGTTGTGGAGGATGAAACCATAACTAGGTACAGACACAAAAACATAAAAGTAAAAAGCCAGGTATAACCAAGAGGTAAGTCACCATGAAATTTCAATTGTGGACACCAAACAAGACAGTGTTATCACTGATCCAGCAGATCCAGATGTTTAGGCCACACCCCTTCTTATCACTTCATCACCTTCCCTATGAGAGCTTTCTCTTGATTTTGCAAGGATCCTCCAAGTCTCTGCCATGCTACTCAGGACAAGTTAATATAATTAGCATGCTGAGAAACAAGATGTTAATACTACAGTTGGCTCTATCTGGGAGTTCTACATCTACAAACTTAAAAGCAGATAAAAATATCCTAAAAATATTGTGTAGGTACTGATCAGATACAGATTGTACCCTTATCAATATTCTCTAAATAATACAGCATAACTATTTGCATAATATTTACATTGTGTTTTATAAGTAATCAAGAGAGGATGCAAAGTATATGGGAGGATATGGACTGGTTCTATTCAAATACTATCACATAATCCCTTATTGTATATCAAAAATATGAACATCTGGGGACTTTGGCGTTTGTGAGGCTATTAGATCCAGTAAACTCCCACCTCCCATATAGGGGGACAAATGTGACTGCAAAGTTTTACGAAGGCTATTTTCTCAGTTTCATTTGAGATCATACTACTTCTTAAACAATTGCCTAATTAATCTTCCAAATGAAGAAAGCATTATTCTTTCTCTTTTTTTTTTGCCAGTCCTGGGGTGTGAACTCAAGGCCTAGACTCAGGCCCTCTCTGTGCTAGCGCTCTACCACTTGAGCTACAGCGCTATTTCTGGCCTTTTCTGTTCATGTGGTACTGAGGGATCAAACCCAGGGCTTCATGCATGCTAGGCAAGCACTCTACCATTAAGCCACATTTCTAGTCCAGAAAGCATTATTTCAAAAGGTAATACATACCTCGCGACCTTGACCATTTTTGGGTTATGTTGCTTCACCAAGGAAAGCAAGGTCTGCATTGTTTTGCCAGTGTCAATTATATCCTTTAAAAACAGAAAAGACACTTAAATGATAGATAAGATAGCATTGTTTTACATTCACTGCCACTATACAAATATACAATACCGAAACTTCAATATTCAGACATTTTCTACAGGCACGATGTCATTTTTTTCAGTACAGTAGTTCTCATCAAAATTCACATACTCTGGTTAGTCAGTAAAGCATGTGAGCCTTACTTAGCAAGTACTTGAGACTGCCAGTCCTCAGTACTAGACTTTTCTAGGCACAGAAGTGTCAAGAACAGCAAACTTAATTATATACAGGTAAATATCATCTACATCTGCATTTTTTGAGACAAGGTCTTGCTATGCATCCTACACTGGTCTTAAACTTGTGATCATCTTAGAAAGGTGTACTGCCCTCTATTTCTGTTTCTTTTGTGCCAGTCCTAGGGCTTGAACTCGGTGTATAGTCAGTGTTTCTTATCTTTCTTTCACTCATGGGCTGGCACTCACTCTACCACTTGACTCACAGCTCCACTTCTGACTTTTTGGTGGTTAATTGTTAAATAGGGATACAGGTGGACCCATTGCACCAATGAGATATACAAGATATTATGTTGAAAATGAACTTTACAATTTTGGCGTTTGGGGGGGGGGGAATGGAAAGGGATGGGAAGGGGAAACAAAGGAGG